AGAGGGTTGAATTGAACAACCTTGGACAAGATTTTCAAGTGGGATGAGCACAGACTTTTTGCTCTAAATTTAAAATTTCCTGTTCTTCTTGATATCCTAAATGGCCTGAATGTTTGCAGAGAAAGCAAAAAAAACAAAAATAAAAAGGATCATATGGAGCCATAGGATGGAGGAGTGGACATAAAGGATCTTACAGGTTCTGGAAGTGCTCTCTGCAGCGTAGGTGGGCTTTGTTTCTCTTTTTTACTGGCATATTTTAATTCTTTCCAACTTTGCCTGAAAGAGTTGGTATCTGTCACTGCTGTCCTCAGTTTGCATTCTTTTGTCCTCTCTGAACTCGGACCTTCCCTCCACAAACCTCTGACCAGGTGGGTCACACTGTGGTGCATCATAGGAAAAGATGCACAGGCTTGCAATATGTAGATTTCCAGGTTTTCAGCTGTCCTCAGTTTTTCAGTGGGTGTGTTTGATGTGCTGTGGGTCGGCACCACAGTGATTTTTTCACATGTCTGTATCCACAGAACACCATTTGCAGGCTGTCCACAACAACACAGGACAGTGTGTTGAATGAACATCTTAGCTTGCCTCGATGCAGGCTAGAGCAGCATCTGCTACACCGTGACAAAACAAGTTTGACTGTAATGTCTAAAAAAAAATCTAGCACTCATTATATTTTCTGTGACTAAGATTTTCCAGGTTCTCTTGTAGTATCTAAGTGAGAGAGACACCTTCAGAGGTCCTGACATGCTCATTTGCTGCTGGTTAGTGTGAACTGTTGGGGTACAGGATCACTTGTTTCTAACCCGCTGCAAGTGCAGAGCACATGATACGAGCTCCTTCATCCACGGTGTGTGGCAGGGCCCAGGGATCTATTAAGGAGGTGCACAAAACTTATTCCTATTAGTAGCCCTAATGCTCACCCACATTCTCCTATGTGAGTGCACACCCAAACCCAGTGCGAATGCCAAGCATCCGTGTGTTCCTGTGCATACGGTGTATGCCTCTCACATGTCCATGGATCTGTGAACACCAGTCACTCCTTACAGCTTGATTTCTTCACACGCCACATAATCGCAAGAGCTTAATGGCGGGGAGATTGAGCTCTTTTAGCCTTCAGTCCTGGCAGTTACTCTGATCCTCACCCTAGCCTTCCTGCTCAGCACAGGACGTGGAGCCATGCCTGGTGAGCCCTGAAGGAAAAACAGTATCGTGTGGCTGAGCTACAGACCCTTCTCCTAAAAGAAGTTGGGGATATCTTTTTGAAGTCTCCAAGCTGTGGAGAAACCACCCCATCAGCTGCTCCTGTGCTAAATACCCTTCATGTCGGGAACATGCAGCTAATTCCTGGTTTGAATGGATCTCACCCCAAATTCCAATCACCAAAAGTCATTACTCTCCCATCTGCTGACGAAGAGAGCCTTCCAGCTGATCCCCATCTTGGTAAAAGTACAGACTGACTGAGTGGCCACACACTAGTGCCTTTGCTCAGCTAAGTAAAGGTTCTTCAGTTTCTTGCTCCAGGTGAAAGTTTTCCAGGCCTTAGGAAATCTCATCTTCATGACCGTCCTCCAGGTTCTCCACCTCTTTTTTTATTTTTTAAGGCTAATCTGAAGGTCTTCAAGAAGTTTCAGCTATTCTTAGGAAAACTTCTCCATACAGGTTAGCCCATGCATGGATTTTAAGAGCATTTTAACATAAGCAATTGCTGCTCTTGTCTTTTCTTAATTTCTGCCAGATCAAAGTTTATTTATTTATCATTGATTTTGTTTCCAGACACAGAAGACAAATATTTAATGAGCATTTTTACCTCTTCTGCATCATTGCTGATAATTCATACCATCCCTGACTAATAACAATTCTGTACCATATGTACAATTTCTTCTGTTCCTAAGAGATGTAAAATATTCTTATTGTCCTTGTCCCACTGTCCTTAAATTTTCTACCTCTAGCTTCCCATGTCAGTTTGGATGAACAGTTAATTCATTGTTACCAATTTTTTCCACTTTCCATCAAATACATTGGCTCAAGCAGGAGGGAGGCTTAATAAGTTATATACTCCAGACCCAAATGGGGCTGCCCCATGGTCAACACTCAGCAGACCTCTCACAAACACCTCCTTGCTGTGCACTCAGATGGGCAAAGCTAGGCAGCAGCTGCTGCAGGGCCCCTGGGAAAGTTCCTCAAGCTGTGCTCCTCGTCCAGTCCCTCTCACGGGCTCCCGAATGCACACACACACACACCCTGCCCCGTAGACTCTGTACAGGCACATACAGACTGCAGACACCGCCGTCCCTCTGTGCAGTCGGCTGAGAGTCCAAGGTTTCTTTGGGAAAGGTTTTTTGCTATGCTTTGGGGTTGTTTTCCCCCCTTTCAGTTTTTAACTAAAGGTTTGTCTCTTCAGCTTGTGACAAGAGATGAGACTTGACTTTCTCCATCCCTTTCTCTGTGAGCCTTTTAGCCCTGAAGAAGGACGAGGCAGTGATGATCCTGTGCTATGCAATGCTGGAGGGAAACTGTCTCTCATCGGTGGTCACCCAGGCCTGGAAGGAGATGGAAGAAAGAGTCCTTGGGTTCGGAGATTCGGTAAAGACACTGATGTCCACCTTTGACCCCACTGTGTGCAGGGGTCCCTGCAGTGCTGACCACAATGCTTCGGTGGCCAGAGCTCATCAGCACTGTCCTTTCAGGTGCCACCTCCTGGGAGAAGCTGACCTGGGTGACCAGGGAGGCAAGCTCCAAGACAGGGATATGGGACCTCCTCAGTCTCCTTTTTCGCCGCCTGACCTCCTTGTTGCATCCACCCTAGGTGTGTGACAGCCTCGGGCGGCGTCACATGGACCTGTGCCCTAACTGCGCTTTCTGCTCGTTGAAGAGGGAGCAGTGTCAGAACACCAAAAACCTGAACCGTGTTCACTGCAAGACAGGGAGCTTCATCACCTACATCAACTCTCAGACCTCAGCCCAGTACCAGGCTGCAGGCAACAAGGTACTGAGCATGCTGCATCTCCAGCCAGTCTCTGAGGAGAAGCCTGGACTGGGTGGTGGGGAAGGGGAGGAAGAAGCACGGCTCTCTTTACCCCACCCCTTTGCAGACCAACTCTCCAGAGACCTCACAGTACTATGGTATGGAGGTTTTCAGAGGGCTGAGGGCGGAGTACTGGTGCAGCCGGATGGCCACCCATGGCTGTGAGGACCCTCGTGTGACCCTCTGGCTGAAGGCAGAGTACACCACCTTCCAAGATGGAGATGCCCCAAGCCAGGTTGGTGCCCGGTGGGTGCTCCCATCCCTCCTTCTCCTCTTCTTTCTCTGGCCTTCATTCCCGTCTCCCCAGATCTGCGACTCAGATGGAGTTCAGCACCCCAGCTACTGCGCGTTCAAGAGCCACCAGTGTCTGCAGCAAAGCCTCTACAACCAGAAGGTGAGAAGCAGCCTGCACTGCCCTTTACACAGCCTTCTCCTCCATGGCTGGTCCCTCCACAGCCAGCCCCAAGTCCCTGCAGGACTCACTGGCCCACTGCTTGTCCCTCCAGTAGGACACACTTGGATGTGTTTGGAGGGGGTGACAAATAGTGACCCGAGCACAGCTGGCATGTAATTGAGGCAGTGGGATTTGCACAGATGCTGTAAGAGATGGCAGCAGAGACAGCCACTAATGTCAAGACAGAAGAGCTGTGGGGAGCCTCCCACCCATCGGGGTATCCCTGTATATCCCTGCAGGGGAGGGTCTCCACCATCTACTAGGTGCTTCCTAGGTGGTAACAAAAAACAGAAACACCAAAGCAGGACAGAGGACTAGCCTGTATCTTAGGAAATATACAGTTCAGCTCTCATTCTCTCCCTCCTGCTTCCCAGCTGGTTCTCCCCTCTTCCCTCTGGTGCCCCCATCATCCCAGCCTCCAGATGCCAGCCATCATGGGGGTCTTCTTTCCCTGGGGGAAGGATGGGCAGTGGTATCAGTCCTATGAACTCAGGCTCTCCTTGCAGGTGTCTCGCCGCAGCTGCCACAGAAACAGGACGTACCGGGTGCTGAGTGAGAAGGAGGGAGAGGAGGAGGTGCGGCTGTGGCACCAGAGGTTCCTCAGCCTCACCAAGGGGTGATGCATGGTATCAGGGGGATGTGTGGGATGCGCAGGGCTCCAGAGCAGGCTCTCTGGGGCTGTGGTGGGGCAGAGAGCCTAGATAGACTGGGACAGCTCTTCCCAGACCCCTTGCTGGCCAGCCAGTTCATCATGGCCAAATCTCCCTCTCCGAGCACCTGCTCTACACTGTCGGCAGTGGCACACCAGGAGGGGAGCCTCACTCAACAGAGTTTCACTGTGGCGCCTCCTGGAACTCCTCCTGAAAACATTTTCTCCAGCTGAGCATCGGAGGAGGCATCAGCCCTGGGAACCTGGATTTAGAGCCACTGGCCCAAGTGTCCTTGTCTGAAGTCCCCAGCCACCTCTTGCCTCCCTCGCCCTGCAGGCCTATACCAGTCAGTAGTTCTCCCAAGGAAGAGTCTTATTGTATAAAGAGCCCATTCGTCCCACAAACCTAATCTGCTCCCTTCTCTCTGCTGCCGCCGCTCTATTACACCCCTCAGTGACCCCTCTCACATCCAAGGTGGGTCCCTGCTCCCCGCTGCTCCGCTCCCCAGTGTTTCTTGCTCATTGCAGCCTGTGTGGCACGAGGACTCCAGCGTGGCCTTGTCCCCTCCCAGCCCACAGGAGGGAGCAGAGCCAGGTACCCTCCAGGTTCCAAATGCAGCACGTGAGGAAGGAGCTGACGTATGCACTTTGCTTTCCATTGCAGCTGGTTTATTTCTAAAGTTTAAGGGTTTATTGGGCCTGTGTCCTCCAACCCTCCATCCGGAAAAACAATTCAAACCACAGAAAGCCCAATGAAGCTGGTGAGAGGGTGCTGGGTGAGGAGCACACAGGAGCTGATGGCACCCCCAGTGCCAGGGGCTGCCCTCTGGCAGGACAGCAAAACCCCACGTCTCCTCCGTTCCCTTTCAGGCTCACCGGCCCCTCTCCCCCCCCTCGGCCGGGGGGGGGGGGAAGCCCCTGCCGCAGCACAAGAGCTCACAGCCGTCCATGGCCGGGGATGTCCGGTTGCACTGGCGGCCAGAGGTGCCAAAGACCCCGCGCTGGGGATCCCGGTCGCAGAAGTCTGGGCTGGCCAACAGGGAGACCCGGTCGTGAGCCGGGTAG